CACAGCCCCCCATGGATCCGGCTTCCCCCACTCGCCCCCCAGGGCACAGCCCCCCATGGATCCGGCTCCCCCCCTCTCCCAGGCTCGCCCTGCCCCGCGTGGCTCGCCCGATCCACCCACCTGGGAGGCTCCTGCCCCCGGGCGTGGGGAGCCGGGTGCTCGGAGCCCAGGGGCTCCCGCGGCCACCCAGGCGGAGGTTCCGCGGAGCTGCCACATCCCAGCCCCACGCCCCGCTCCTGGCTCTGACAGGGGGGCCGGCCAGCGCCCCCGCCTCCACCAATCCCTGCACAGGACACGCCCCCTTCTGGGGCCAGACACGCCCCCCTCCGCCTTTCCCCGCCCCACCCCGCGGTGGGAGCCGGCCAGGTGGCAGGTCCGGAGGTGTGGGACGAGCCAGCGCCGCCGTGGGGGTGGCTCGGAAAGAAATAGGACGCCTGGGTGCGGTCCCTGCCTGGGGGGAGGGATTGGAGCAGGAGGCGGGAGCCAGGACGCCTGGGTCTATTCTTGGCTCCGAGAGGAGCAGGGCGGTGGGGGGAGGGGGGGGGTCTAGTGGTTAGGGCCAGGGCTCCTGGGTTTCTAGTCTCACTTCTCATACTGCCTCCTTGTGTGACCATGAACAAGTCACTTCCGCTCCCCGTGCCTCAGTTTCTCCCTTTGAACCATAGTTACAATACACCCATCTCCTGGGGCAATGTTCAATGCTTTACAGAGGGATGCTGCTGCTTTCGTCTGTTGCCACAGCCCCACGGTTACAGACACGCCTTTCAGGCTGAAGCCTGTTACAAAGCGATATACAAAATAAAGGCAGGGATCCCGTAATCCACTACTGAAATTCGGCTACTTCTGGGGTGGGATCCAGGGGTGGTTTAAACAGAGATCCCTCATCCAGCGCGGAGGTGCAGTCACCCAGGGGTGGACCACAGCAGCTGTTTATAGCAGGAGTCCCTCTGGAGCAATGCCCAGGTGGTGACCTCCCGAGGGGGGGTCTGGTAAAGCAGGGCTGGGGAAAGGAAAGCCAGGGCACCCTCTGGGCCAGCGAGGAGATGGAGGAGGAGGGGGTCCCTGGGCTAGGCCTCAGGAGAGGTGGGTTCAGTTCCCGGCTCTGCCACAGAATCCCTGAGTGACCGTGGGTGCGTCACTGCCCTGCCCTGTGACTCAGTTTCCCCATCTGTAAAATGGGATCATTGACCCTGCCTTTCGTTGTGGGGCAGGGACTGTGTCTATACAGCGCCTGACATAATGGGGGGGCCGTGATCTGTGTGTGTGTGGGGGTTGAGGCGAGAATATTAAAGAAAAGAGCCCCATACTTGGGCTGCGGGGTCTGTAACCAGCCAGGGAATCCCGCCGGTCCGAGCACGCCTGAGGCGGGGTGCCAAGGGCTTGGCAGCTCCGGGGCACTGGCTGATTCGTCCTCGCCCCAGCCCCAGCCCGGGAAACCGAGGCACAGACAAAGGAAGGGACTTGGCTAAAATCTGAGGGGATGGGGGGGGGGGAGCCACGAATAGAACCCAGGAGTCCGGGCCCTCTGCGGGGGGGTGGGTGGGATTCAGGGGCGCGCCCCCTGCCCGGGAGGGGGGGGCAAGTGGGCCCACGTGTCCGGCTCTACCCCACGGGCTCCCCGCCCCGGTGGGGTGATTTTGTGGGGGAGGGGCCTGGGAGTGGGCGGGGTTTAGAAGGAGCGCGTGTGATTAGCCCCGCCCCCTGACCCGGCAGGGATTAGAGGGGGGCGGTGCGCAAATGGCGGCGCCCAGTGGGGTGAGGCCGGCTGGGGTCGGATATGGGGGGGAGGCTTGGGGTGCCAGGGGACATGCCCAGACGGGGGGGGGAAGATGAGAGTTGGGGATGGAGGTGGGGGGTGGAGATGGGGTTTCGGGGGGCTGGGGGATTGCCCAGCTGGGAGGAGGTGAGAGTTGGGGATGGAGGTGGGGGGTGGAGATGGGGTTTCGGGGGGCTGGGGGATTGCCCAGCTGGGAGGAGGTGAGAGTTGGGGATGGAGGTGGGGGGTGGAGATG